TTAATCCCAGCATTTAGTAGGCAGAGGAAGGCAGATGTACTGTAAATTCAAGGCCAGCCTGATTTACGGAGCTAATTCCAGGACATCCAAGGCTACACAAAGAAACTTTGTCTAGGGAAAAAAAAAACAATGTAAGATGGAGAATGATTGAGATGGTGACCACTTACCTACACACACACATGCATGTTCATGTGCATGCATGCACGCACACACGCACGCGCGCGCACACACACACACACACACAAGTTCAAATTGAGCCCTGTTTGTGATACTAACCTCAGCTCTTTGTGTCTACCAGCTGGGACATCAGTTAATAAAGTAGTGTGTTCTAGCTTCAGGGCCGTTCCAGGAACTGGCGTTGTTTGAATGCCACATGCTGGAAAACAGGTGAAATTAAGCTGTTTAATGAAAATTTAAATTATCTCACACTGTCTTTTCTATCCAGTTTAAGGCATGAGCTACACTGTTTTTCAGAAATAAATATACTTCCTTAACATTCATTCCTTTAAATGCCTCAAGGTTTCTTCCATATACTAGTTAATAACGTATGTACATTAGGCTGAAGTCTTGGTGGGAAGATGAGAGAGAGAGAGAGAGAGAGAGAGAGAGAGAGAGAGAGAGAGAGAGAGAGAGAGAGACTAACAAACAAAATGAAAAGCAGTACTTCAACATTAGGTAAGCCTTGGATCTTGGGAAAGGTACAGGATATTCCTCACTTCTCTTTTCAATAGTCAGAAGATTTGGGTGATAGACAAAGCAGTTACTTATGTTAGTGGCATTTGTTCTTCCTTAAAATTCTATATCAAAAGGCAAGAAAACACTAAATCTAGTGAAATATAACTTCATGACAAGCTTGTAAATTGAGGAAAGGTATCCTCCTTTTTAGAGTAACTTCTTTGAACCTTTAAGATTTTTGTTTGTTTGCTTTTTGTTTTGTTTTGTTTTCGAGACAGGGTTTCTCTGTGTAGCCTGGCTGTCATGGAACTTACTCTGAAGACCAGGCTTAGCCTTGAACTCAGAGTTCCACTGCCTCTGCCTCCTGAGTGCTGCAGTTAAAGACATTCACCACTTCCACCTGGCTTCTTTCAGATTTCTTATACTTACAGTTTCTCAGAGTGACAATGACATAAATTGTTTTTAGCCTATCAATTACATGGTGGGTGGCAATGTGAATTACAGTGGAGGAATTATGACAGAGACTGTTCCCTAAGTACTCTCTATTAATGACTTAAGAAGTCAGAACACTGACTAAAATTTTGGCTTATTTTTTAGAAACTTGCTACATGACTTTGAACAAAGAAAGAAATGTCTTTTCTTGAAGCTTACTTTTTGTTAAAGAAGGGTGAAAAGTGAATTTATCAGTTAAAAAGGAAGATAAGGGGCTGAAGAGATGGCTCATTGGATGAACTAATTGCTCTGCCAGTGTTGAGAGAGGAGTTCAGATATGAAGAACCTGTGTGAAAGTTGAGCGGGCATGGTCCTGCCTGTCATTCCAACCCTTGGGACTCAGTGGCAGGAGGCACCTAGGCATGTTGGCTACCTAGGAGAAAAAGAATCAGTGAGTTCTCAGTTCAAAGAGAGATCTGTCTCAGTACATGAGGTGAAAAGCAAGGCACACACGCACATATATATTTATATGCATGAGCATGCATTCACATACATATCTCTGACACATACACATGCAAATATCAACCACTGACAAGTATCCACCATTAACTTCATCCCTGAAACTGGCATGTGATTCGACATATACCTGAAAGATACACCATGTTAAGTTCAAATTTTATATTAAATATCTCAAAGCAACCAGTGTGAGGTCACAGACACCCTGATACTAAAAATTCACAGAAACTCATATATATATATATATATATATATATATATCAGTTTGCCAGTCATTTACACCCCAGTGTTAGTTGGTTTATGAGAGATGTTCTTTGCTCTAATTTGCTTAGAACAAGACACTATAGGGACAATGTAGAACAAAATGTAGGATAGACAAAAAAGCGTGGGGTAAACTAGATAGGAGAAAGAGTAGGAACAGGGAAAATAGAAGCAAAAACACTTAAGGATAGTTAGTGCTTAGAGTGGAAGGTAATAATAAATCAGTAGTGAGATTGACTACATGTTGACTAAAATGAAACTAATAAAAATGTAGGCAAATTAATAATTTGTTACCTGGCTCATATAATAATTAGGGGTCATGTAGACAATATTCTTTAAAAATTTCTTTGACATTTATTCAAGTTGAATGACAAGATTACCTATTAATTCAAGTTGAAAATAGATACATTCATTTATTATTGGCTTCCACTGGTAGAGATAGAATTAATATTCTGATGAAAACTACTGCTAATTTTCTCATGTACTTATATTTATATGTTTTGTTTGTTGGCGGTAGGTTCAAGTTTTTTGCAGGAACTTGTGAAAAGGTTTTTTTTGCCTGCCAGAAAAGGTCCCTTACACATCAAAACCCACACTAGCTTCCAGCCTCCTTCAGTTCCTATATACAAGTACTTGCTGTGCATTTTCTGCCCCTTCTCACCTCTCCCACACCTCCTCCACTATGCTAGCTCCCAGGCTTCCCTCCACCCAGATAGTCATTCTTTCTCTATGTTAGAGCAAGGGAAGGGAAGGGAAGGGAAGGGAAGGGAAGGGAAGGGAAGGGAAGGGAAGGGAAGGGAAGGGAAGGGAAGGGAAGGGAAGGGAAGAGAAGAGAAGGGAAGGGAAGAGAAGGGGAGGCAAGGGAAGAAAAGGGAGTCCTGGCACATTTTCATTTCTAGCATACAAAGGATCTGGAGGACATTATACTATATTACCTATGTGAGGCTCATCAAGACACATTCTGCATTATCTCACAGTAGAATCTAGAAAGGATGTATCCATGAAAGCACAGAAAAGAGCTTGGATTGGAGTGGGGGTTAAAAGGTGTTGGTCTAAGGAAGAGATGTTTATGTGGATAGAATATATTCAGGAGAGCCATTGCACAATACAGCAGCCATAGTAATGACATGGTGGCACACATAAAGAAACAAGAAAGTAGACCCTTGGGGTACTGACCAAAATGATAAGCAAATGAGGTCATGAATATGTGAATAACATTAAAATAATCATTTCAAAGTATGTATATGTGTCAAAAGAGCATAGTGCATATTACAAGTATGTGATTAATTTGTCAGGCGTGCTTAAATAAAACTTAGGGAAAAGATCCAAGTAATAACTTTACAATTTTAATCACCTTTTGCTGCAAATGCATGAAAGGTTCTATGTATTTCAATCTGAAATTAAAATATTTCTTATTTTCAGTTTGTCATATACATGTGTTTAATCATGAAGATATTGGTACTTGCCTTTTTGGTGACTTTTGGCAAATTAAAACATTGCTTGGTTGATGAATTATAAAGAAACAAAGAGAGAAATCTCCAAGCATTAACAATAACCCATCCAGGACACATACCATAGCTCATGAAGACTTGTTTTGAATAATATTGAATGTAATTTCAGTTTAAAATAAATATGTTAACTCAAAGTAATTGCTACAGATCATCTATCTCTCAACACACATGACGAAAATCTATTGCTTCTTTGTGCAATGGGAATACGCAGCGCTGCATTTTCTGTTGTAACAGGCACAGTAAGTAGCATGTTAAATTGCAACTGTTTCCATGTCAGTGTGTAAGTTTTAGTGAAGGTGCTGGAAGACCAGTAACTACAGCAAAAATTTGGTAGCTGATACTCACACATTTTTAAGACAAGTGGTGATATAGTATGCAGTATGCATAAAGACAAAGAAAATAGGCTTCTAAGAGTCAGTATTGTTTCTTGCATCATGTATATAGTAAACAGTATATTTTTGCAATTGTTTGAATGAGAATGCCCCCCCCCCATATAGGTGCATATATTTGAAAGCTTTGTCCTTAGTTTATTGTAGAGTTTTGGCAAGGATTAAGAGGTGTGGCCCTGTTGGAGGAGGCATGTCACTGGGGGTGGGCTTTGAGGTTTGGAATAGTCTCTCTATTGCCACCTACAGGCTGCAGATCAGGATGTAAACTCCAACACCAGGCCATGCTCCCACCATGAGAACATAGACTCAACCTCCGAAAATGTAAGCTAGCCCCTAATTAATTGCTTTCTTTAATAAGTTGCCTTGGTCATAGTATCTTTTCACAGCAACAATAAGTAAGACAGTTATGAATTACATTTCAAGCTAAACAGTAATTATACATGTATAACATTTTTAATATGCACTTTCTCTTAATCACCCCCCCCCAAAAAAAATAGAATCAACAAATCAAGTTAGCTACTGGTAGTTAATGCTAAATGATATTGTTACCATTGCTAGAATGAAAACACATCCTCTTAGTATAGTGTTGTTTCAGTAAGAACTTCATAGAGAGTATCAACTTCACAAAAGAAGAGTGGACACAGTTTCAGCTCTGTGATACCTCTTTCTCTTAGGGTTATTAGCCTGGGTCTACAGTATATGAAGCATTTCCTTAACATCAAGTTAAATAATCTATAGCACACATACTATTTAACAACTTTTGGATGAAACAATTAAATAACCACACATTTTCATTTGAGGGAAAAGCTGGATACAACAGATTAGCAATCTCCCTCCTTCACCTTGAATAGTATCAGTTATTTTTTTGATAGAATTTTTTGCAGGAAGCTTCCGATTAGCACTTACTACGCACCTTGTGTTCTGGCCTATTCTTCACTATGAAGGGAAATCCCATCTCCTACACGGTCAGACAATAGTGGTGCTCCAGTATGGTGCAAGACTGATTACACTGTCACATTTGACCAAGTGATGTGACAAGGCTGTGCCACACACTTGTTACCTTAAGCATCTGAAATCATCTAATGCTAGAGATGAATCAGACCCATCCAAAGTCTGGGTTGTAGTCCGGCAGGTTAATGAACCTGATGTTGCAAAATCTCCCAATGATATGAGGTCTCTGATAATCACCTCACATGCCCCACTTCACTGTCGGAAAGGAAGGTGTCGTGAGGGCTCTAAACCGATGAAGATTCTTTAGGTGAGTTTCGTATTTCCAGTTTAGAATCCACTAAGAGTTCTGCTTTCCTTGATTTAAGATGTTCAGCGTTGTAAAACTTCCACTTTCATTCTCTGGTCCAACAATTTAAAGCACTTCCTTATTCATATACTTTCACTAATGTTCAAGTGTGAGAGGAAAAGCATATGAGGAGAAAACAATTCCAAACATGAACCACCTGCTTCTTTTTTTATTTCACAAAGTCAAAGAAACCTTGATACAAGATGATCTCTGGCAAGCAAAATTTTCTAACTTATTAAATATATTTTGTTGGAGCCAAACAGTATCCTTTCTTCCATTATAATAAAGTATGAGTGACATCACTTGTTTAAAATGACTTTCCATGTTTACTTTCTTATGACTCAGTAGCGTCAATTTTTCTATTTTTTCTCTAGAACATTCTCTTGAACACTGAAGATGGCAAATTGTAGAAATGAAAACATTTAATTTGACACTTTTTATTTCTACCTTTTTTCCCATTAAATGTGTGTTTTGTATCTTTAGAAAAAAACAGAAATAAGAACTAAGATAACTGCTAAATTTAATACATATCTGTCAAGAAAAAGAAAGGGAATGTACAATCACATTAGGTATTTTTGTAAAACGTAAGTTATTTGTAAGTTTTATCGAGAATCACTAATCAAAGCAGAAATGTTAAAATAATAATCTACACAAGGAGAAAGCATATTCTTTCTAACCATACAAATTAATGGGTACAAAATACAAGCATAAATAAATGATCATGGCTCATTTGTTTCCTTTTCATTCTTGAACTAATATCTCTGAGGAAGAGACATCAAACGAAATTAGAATTAAGAACATTTTCATGAATTGCAAAGTTCCAAATTAGCATTAACTGTATGCTACTCCAAATAAACAACTATCTTAATGAAATTATCTTGATATTGAATGGTATTACTTATCATGTGGTTGGTGTTCTAAATGTATGAAAGGTGCCCCAAAAGATACACTTGGTGATCAAATATCATACAAAAAATAGAGATAACAATTTGATCCTGAGTTACAAAGTACCGTTTTTATGGGGCTCAATCCATTGCAGAGTGAAAGGATTTAGGATGCAAATTACTCCACTTACTAAAGGAGAGTGGGAAAATCTATAGTAAATAATGCTAATGATTTTAAAGAATGTAAGGGTAATATGAAGTTCACTAAAATCACGGGGAAGATGTTGATTCTGAAGTTAGGTAAAATAGGCTGCTGAAGCCTGATGAAGGAGGGAGGAAGAGGAAGTGTCTTCATCTTAATGTTTTCTGGAGAAGTGGAACAAATGAGATGATGTATACACTAGCTAACAGTATGAACTTCTGGTTAGAAGATGAATACATAATGTACACATATAGTGTTCACATGTCAGGAGATTGTCATCCTACATGATCTGAAATCACTTAGTAACTCATTTATGAATGTCTCTCCTCATATTATAGGTGAAAAATTGCATATTCAGATAGCTTTAACTATTGAAACTAAAAGAATGAGAATTACCTAAAGAAATATTAATTCTTTTGCTCTGTGTGTTTGTGTGGTGTTCATAATGAATTTATAACTGGTGGCCTAAGGCATAAATATTAAATACAAATATTTCATCACAGTTTTTTTAACCTTAAGAAAAATCCTCAGATGTATTCATAACCTGATACTGATTATTTATTTATGTTTTATATGTTTGTGTTTGGCTCTGTCTATATGCCTAGAGGTCATAGCACAACTTAGGACATTTTTTTTCTTTCACATATATGGAATCTAGGTATTAATCAGGCCATCTGCCTTGGGGGCCAGGCTAAGTAATCTTGCAGTGTCTTCGACTAATAATTTTATCATTTATGCATTATCAAATGTGCAGGTATTCATACAAAGAATCACCTTTATATGATAAAGAAAAGATGTGCTTATCATAAGAAAACTTAAATTTAAAATATATCCATAAATTTTGGAAGAATGAGGAAGACATTCTGTTTCTTATCTTGCTGGCAATATGACTTCTGCTTGTCTACTTCAACTTATTTGCTTATACTTTTTGTATCAAGAGAAAAATAGCATTCCTTGGGTCTGGAGAGATGATTCAATAGTTAAATGTCTTTTATATTCTCCCAAGAACCCACATGGGTAGCCCAAAAAGGCAGAGCTCAGGTTCCCAGGCATATGACATCATCATTTGGCTTGCATGATCAAGCATATATGTTTTTCACAGACATGCATGTAAGCAAAGCAGTTATACCCATAAAACAATACTTAAGAAAATAAAACATGCATTCCTAAGAACCTTTTCTCTTAAAAGTTGATTTTCAAGAGAGCAGCAGTGAACTTAGCTAAGCAAGTGTCTCTGCAGTAGGATTAAACATCCTTTGTGTATATGCCCTAAAATGGTATAGCTGGATGTTGAGGTAGATCTATTTTCAGCTTCCTGAGGAACCACCACTGATTTTCCTAGGAGTTTTATCAGTTTGCACTCCTATCAGCAATGAATACCTGCTCCCTTTTCTCTGAATCCTCACCAGTGTGAACTGCCATTTGTTTTGTTGATCTTAGCCAGTCTGACTGGGGTAAGATGAAATCTTAAAGCAATTTGAATTTGCATTTACCTGATGGCTAAGGATGTTGAAGATTTCTTTCAATGTTTCTTAGCCATCAGTGAAGGGATAAATAAAGAGAAAGGAGATAGTGGGTACCTTTGGGCGGGCCCTTCCAAGGTACACCACTAAGCAAACATACCCAACACCCAAAAGAGTTAGTGCAAGAGGTTTATTGGTAGAGGGAAAGAATGGAAAACTGAAAGTCCCTGTTGAAGTGGGGACTTGAGAGAGGTAGGCCAACAAGAAGAGAAGCAAAAGAGAAAAGAAGAGGCAAGGGAAGAAAGAAGAGACAAAGGAGAAAGATGCAAGTGAGACAAGAGAGGTAAAAAGACAAAGAGAGCAAGCTGTGCCTGGCAGGTACTTTTAAAAGATGTGCAGCTGAGGATGGGAAGGCACCTAGCAACAGGTGATAACTGCTTTGGCAGCAAAGGCAGGCTGCTGCTGTGGTGAAAACTAACAACTAGTGTTTCATCTTTTGATAACTACCTCCTTCATTCTGTAGCCCAGTTTTAAATTGGGTTATTTATTTTCCTTATATTTAATACTTTTATTTTGTATATATTCTAAATACTAACTTTCCTTTGGATGCATCACTGTTAACGTTTTTTTTTTCCATTCTGCAGCCTGCGTTTTGGCCAAATGATAATGCCTCTTGCTGTACAACTCTTCATCTTCATAGGTCCTGTTTATTGTTAGTTTTAGCACCTAAGCTATTGGTGTCCTGTTCAGAAAGTATTTTCATGTGTCACTGAGTTCAACATATTCCCCATTTTCCCTTCTATCAGGTTCAGAGTATCTGGTCTTATGCTATTTTCATTCTTCTACATCCAGCCATCCTGTTGGATCAGTATCATTTGTTGAAGACACCTGAATTTTTTGACCAAGAAACCATGGTCTCTTCTTGAAACCCTTGTTGAATATCAAGTAACTTACGCTTGTGCAACTATTTCTGGGCTGTAAATTTTTATTCCTATGTTCTAAAATTGTATAAAGTTTCACTTCTCCCAAAGGAATTAGGTCGAGAATTTGATAATCTACTGTAGTGCCTACAGCCAACAATAATGAATTATTCATTTGCATTTTGTGGGCAATTTCATTAAGTGTTATCACACAGAGACACACAGCAAGAACACCGGAAAATGTGATTCCAATAGTTTCATAAAAGAATTTATATATTCAGATTGGCATAATACGCATTACACATGTGCAAACGTTTTCTACCTCAATTATACATCAGTTAAACTTTTGAAATCTATTCTTGCAAGTATTATGAGCAGCAGAAAAACAATCCCAAGGAAGTAAGAATAAAACTCATGTTCAATTCATCTTAGTTGGTTAGCTAGGCCAAAACTTCTGGAGTCTGATGCCTAGAGGTTTATATTTTGCATATCTAAATACAGCAAAACTTTGGGAAAAAAATTGCATGTGGCATTATCACTACAAAGCTTTATGTATGAGTATGTTGAAACTTACCTGTAAAGTACATCTTCTTAACAAAGCAGCTGTGACCCTCTCCACAAGAGTGGGTTCGAGTGACTAATAAACAGTGCTCAGGACAAGGTGCTAGGGAGAATGTTTTTGTAATAGGCCTAAGATTGGATTCTATTGACTCAGAAACAATGTTCAGGATTCTGGGGTATTCGATGGTTGACTTTACAAAACAGCGAAGATTACCAGATATTGGCACATCCATTCCAGGCTTTCTGCATGGAAAACAGGTGTCAATTTCTTCTGGCGAAGAAAAAAGCCAGTGTGTTTAACAATCCTGGCTTCTTTAGTACTGTCTGTAAACACATGCACATCATGCTGTTCTAAAGAAATTGAAATAAATGATAATGAAATATGAAAGCCCTAGAATGCATGAAGTACAAACAACATGGGCAACTAAAATTCTTTAAATTAGCATGAATTTATCTTTAAGTCTCAAGTTCTCCTAAAAAATAATCTCTAACTCCTCTTTATTACCTTTTCTTTTTTTTTTTTTTTTTAAGACAAGGTCTCACTATGCAGTTCTGGGTGTCCTGGAACTATGTAGAACAGGCAGGCCTCAAAATTTACTAAGATCTTCCTGCCTCTATCTCCCCAGTGCTGGGATAAAAAGCATGCACAACCACAGTTGGCTATTCATCCTTTTGGAGATGCTATCCTAAGGGTATTTTTACTCTTTGTTTTATCAATATTGACAACTGAAAACTTTAATTTCCTTGATGTTTAAGTTGCAAAATGAATCAGAATTCTGAGGGTCTGAACCTTTCCTAGAGTCTAGCACCTAAATATGTGCACAACTACCTGTACACATTTTGCATATACCACATACCAAATATAATGCTGAGCTGAAAAGCAGGAGTTAACACTGAGATGTTGCAATTTAAAAATTTATTGACGGCCTGGCTGTATTTTCAGTCTTCTATGGCGATGAAAACATACCAGATAAAAGGTAGAGAATCCAAAGTAGACTAAAGGTACACCAAGTGAGCAAGTTCTTAAAGGGAGGGTTGTTATTTTTATGATCATCGGAAAGGTACACGTTATAGGTTTATAGCCAGACAGTAGACATACCATGAAACAATTTATGATCATGCAATTCTCAGAACAATGGAAACAATTTATGATGTGTAGTTTGCAAGATTATTGAGGAAGAACAAATCAATAAAAGTTGATCTTTAGCTTAACCTTGAGCTTGGAACATAATTAAAGCAGTCACCATAGAGAAGAATACAGAATAAGTCAAATTTAACTCAATGAAAAATGGAGTCAGTTGTTTCTTAATATCATGCATACATATTAGAGAGAAGGAAGAGAAGACGAGGAGGAAAGAAGAAATGATTCTGATGTCAAGTTAAACAGGAAAACATTAAAAACCAAACCCCAAAATATATAGTTCTGTTATCGCCTCCCCCATTTGTGTGTGTGTGTGTGCACGCACGCATGTGTGCAATGTATTCCTATGGCTTTTGAGTGTGCCAATATGCCCATATATAAAGGAAATGCCACAGAGGCCTTGCTGATCAGGCATGAATGCCTTGGTTTGTAGTTTGTAGACATCCATTTTATAATTTGCTGGTCTTATTCATATTGGTGTGATGTTCTCTCTCTCTCTCTCTCTCTCTCTCTCTCTCTCTCTCTCTCTCTGTATGTGTGTGTGTTTGTGTGTGTGTGTCACTCTGTGTGTGTAGTAGAATATATATAATATATAAATAAATATAGCTTTTATAATATAGCTTTTATATTGAAATAAAGAGTTGGGTTAGAGGAAAGTTAGATGAGAGATAAAAGATGAATAATTTGAAGTGAAAGATTTTTAAGAATTAGGAGTAGAAGAGAAAGAGTAGAGTCCTTGGAAAGTATTACTTTTTAGTACCAGTTAATGATGCCTGTTATCCCTGGCTCCAGCAAGCTAATGCTGCACCCTCACTATCACACCAGTACCTGTCCTTCAATCTGTAACTGTAGTGAAACTACTGGACTATAACCCTGTGTGGTATGTCCATTAGACTATCACTAAATGTTTGATCTTCCCCTTGGGCCTCAAATTATTTAGTATGAACATGCTAACAAAGAATTCTAATCCAGGCTAAGTGTAATGGGTTCTTTGTCCCATTAAATGTGTTTAGCTATTAAAACTAAATTACAAATGTATGTATTTAAAACTTTTTTTTTAACTGAACAGCCTGACATCTTTGGGTCCTTATAGAAGAACAAAGACCCGTGGATGGAAGTCAATCAAAATTTTAAGAGCACAAGGAAGAAGGTAAATTATAGAAGCAAAAGACTGGGATTGGGGCAGCTGATACTATTTGTCTCATCTCAGAAGGAAAAAGAGCAGGACATTTCAAGACTCACGAGCACATAAAATGCCATAGGTTAATAACCTACTTCCTCAGACTAAGGATTGCTTTCTTAGTGAATGGTTTTCTCATAAGAAATAAAGTCAGCATTCTTCACTCCATGTTTTAAGCATTTCTACAATGCAAAAAGAACAAATATTCATAGCTGTTTAATTTGCTAAACTTCATCTTTCTGTTGTAAGTTCTCTGAAAATGCTATACATGAGTCTTTACATCAATTTGTTTAATATTTTCAATAGTTGATTGAATAATTTTACTTAACATGTATGTGAATCTTTGACTCTAATAAGACAGAAACTGTGTTACATGAAAGAATCATCACCACAGTCAGAGGGACTAGTCTGGTCTTATGCTGGTTTCTTCCCTGTCCGGATGGAGTTGGTGAGCTCACATCAGCTCAGGTAGAATGTTTCAGCTGGCATACCCATCATGGTCTTGACCTCTTTGCTCGTATTCTCATTCCTCCCACTCTTTAGCTGGAGTTTGGGATCTCAGTCTAGTGCTCCAATGTGGGTCTCTGCCTCTGTTTCCATCAGTTGCTGGATGAAGGTTCTATAGTGATATTTAGGATATTCATCGGCCTGACTACAAAGTAAGTCGAGATTGGGACCCCTCTCTTTCATTGCTTAGGATCTTAGCTGGGGTCATCCTTATGGATTCCTGGGAATTTCTCTGGAGCCAGGTTTCTGCCAACCCTATAATGTCTCCCTCAATCAAGATATCTCTTTCCTTGTTCTCATCTCTGTCCTTCCTCCATCTTGATTATCACATTCCTTCAAGTTCTCCTCAACCCTCCCCTTCTCTCCTACTCTTCCCTTTCCACTATCCCTTCTCCCCTCATTCCCATGCTCCCAATTTTATCAGGCGGTCTTGTCTGTTTCTAATTTCCAGGTGGATCTATGTATGTTTTCTTTGGGTTCATCTTATTGCTTAGCTTTTCTAGGCCCATGAACTATATAGGCTCAATATTCTTTGTTTATAGCTATTTATATCCACTTATAAGTGAGTACATACCATATTCATCATTTTGGATATGGGTTACCTCACTCAGGATCATGTTTTTAATTCCATATATTTACATGAAAAATTCAAGATGTCATGTTTTTTACTACTGAGTAGTACTCTAATGTGTCAATGTGCCACATTTTCTTTGACCATTACGTGGCTGGGGCAGACTGAGGGGCCACTGGCAATGACACCAGGATTTATCCCTACTAAATGTACTGGCTTTTTGAGAATCTGTTCTCTTTGAATGGATACATTGTACAAGCATGAAGACCTGAGTTCAGATCCTTAGCATCCACGTAAAACTCCAGGCAGGCTCCTGTAGCTGTGAACTCAAGTACAGGGGTGGGGTGGGAAGGGCGGAAACTTGGGCTTGTTAGATAATCAGTTAATTAGGGGAAGGATAATGGAACAAGGAGAGCTCCAGGTTCAGTGAATGACTGTGTTCTGTCCTCTATACGAGTAAATTGATGTATACATCCACTCATACAAATGTAGGATTCACATGCAGCACACACATAAAATTTTTAAATGATAAGACTTCCTTATTGAAAAATCAATTGCTTATGACCAGCCTTGGACAGGAAAGGGGAGAATATTGTTATTTCCAAAGATGTAAATTGCGATTGCAACCTTAACTGAGGGAGAGGAATCTTAGAAAACACCCTGATCTTTTTAACTGCATTGATAAATTGCCTCCTTTTAAATTAATAGCACTATAATTCTTTGTTCATAAATAGGCATTTCATAAAAAAAAATGTTTCTAGCCAGCAGGCCTTTAACCCCAGCATTCAGGAGGCAGGGGCAGGTACATCTCTGTGAGTTTGAGGTCAGCCTGGTCTACAGAGTGAGTTCCAGGACAGGCTCCAAAGCTACAAAGAAACTCTGTCTTAAAAACAAAAAAAAAAAAAGTCATAAAAATCATGCAGGTTTTTCCTCAGTGATTATAGTAAGTGTAACCTCCCTTATCAGCCTCTCTTCTGTAATAGAATCTGTTTTGTTGGGTATAAAAAGTGATTTATAATTATTTATTATGGAGTAACATAATTTCAATCCCAGCACAATTAAAATTAGAATTTTGTTCTTTCTACAGAGCATTCAAGAATCCTTTGTAAATTGTATCCTGTGTATAATACTTTATGATTTTGAATAGATACTTAACACTGGTTTCTTCATTCAAAACAACAATTGTAATCATATTAATGGAGGACTATCCTATCCAAACTAATCATTAATCAAAGCTCTGTAAGGAAAACTGTTATGGTCCCAAGCCATCATTTCCACTCATCAGCCCTCTAGATTTATTTGGTGTGATGTCTGCCAGTAACACACAAAAATCATTGTCCAAACAAACAAAGTATCCCACAGATGCTGAAACCTTTAGTGGCCTTGCTCATTCTTAGCTGGCTCTTCTCAGAATCCTTCAGGAAAAGGTTTCCTGTTTTCTGTCATTTTGCACCCATTATCTTGTTCCTTTGCTATCTTGACATGTTCCCTTCTCACAGCTTTGATTCAGGAGACGGAGATAATAGAGTTGAGGCTGTGTTTAGGAGAGACAAAAATTTTTAAGAATGACTGTCATCCGTAAAGATTTCACAGGCTCAACCTGCCCCCATTCGGTTTGGTTGGATGGTGGCTTCCTTGGAACATTATTATTCCTTCCTCCTACAATGTTTGAATTCATCATTTGTGTGAAAGAACTAACCCCTTGGCAGAATGTCACGGTACTGGACTTGAATCACATTCTCAAATGGATTCAAATGGATGAACAGTCAAGCATAACCTTGCTAACTACCCTTCCTTCATCTCATTTCTGCTTCAAAAGAATACCATAAACTGAGTCATTTACTAAAAATAGATATTCATTGCTCACAGACCTGGAGGATAGAAAAACGAATAAGAAAGCATAGATAAATGGTGTTGATATATTAACTACTGTGAGGCGAATCACATGTCAGTGCAGAAGCTTCCCGAGAGAAGGTGGAAGCCTGCTTTCAAACCTGAACTCCTTTTGGGAAAACCGCTATGATATAGACGTTAATTCCTTCATGGTAGTGGAGTCCTAACGAACTAATCACCTCACAAATCCCAATTCTGACTTTCCCTCACAGTGACAAATAAATTTCATTGTGAACTTTGGAGAAAGCACTTGAACCATAACAAAAATCTTCAAGAATGATTCTTAAACCCAGAAATAGACTTCCTATTCAAGGGTCTATTGTAGATCTTTTCACTAGCCAGTCTTTGCAATTAATAAGCAAACATGTTAATGAGAACATAAGAGCAACAGCGAATCAGGTACTTTCCTACCTAGAACTCTAAAACTCATAGGGAAAAAAGCAACTTGGGCAGTCTTATTGCATGTTCTTGAATAGTTGTACAGGAATTATGAATAAAGGATTGAGTTTTCCATACACTCTATTTACTTGTTCAATTTTTTTTTCTGTATGAAACAGGGTCCTGCTTCATTCCAAAGCACGTCTTGGGACACATGATCCTCATGATTCAGTGTCTTGACCACTAGCATTACAGGGATGTGTGTCATCACACCCAATGCTCTCTTTAAATGGTTGACAATCAGATTATGAGAAAAAAATAAGATGGCAAGATAAAATACAAAATAGTTCACTGAATGGTGAGAAATTGAAATTTAATCTAAGAGCAAGAAACAGACCATTTTAGTTTGATTCTTACCTTACTGGAGTCATAATTGGAAAATTTTGGCCAAAGCTGATGACAGTTTTCTCATCAAAAGGGCACACCTTAACTGAATACTTAACTAAAGCCTGCCTGAGTGTTTTCCAAGATCCAATTGAATATTAACTTTCTGTCTTCTCTAAAGATATGGAGAACCACGGTATGAAAACTTTGAGTAGACACCAGTATTCACAGAATGTTTAGTCTTCTGAGTGGCTTTGAAAGCTTCAGTAGGTTGGTTCCCAGATGCTCACAAGAAACTGAATATAACTCAATATAATCTGACCCATGAGAGGATCACGTAGAGTCAACTTCCAGGACCTCAAGGACCTGCAAGGATCTCATTACTTCCTAGCTCTAGGGAGCGCCTTCTTGATTTATGTCTAAATTTATGTCTGCTGCCTGGCCGGAAGCCCAGGGCAAGAAAAACAGTTAAGCTTCATTTTGCAAAGTGCCATTAAAAGCCACAGACCATGTCCAGACAGAGTTGAGAGATGTCCCTTAGTTTTGGGCTCATTTAGAATGTGTTTAGTGTCAACACAAAGTTTTTCTATGGCTACTTCTTAATTCTTTACATTCATCCAGTTTCATTGGAACAAAGCATTTTCTCCACACCTGATAATAAAATGTAAGAAAAATTAGATTGTAGAAAATTGTTTTCAAAACCCAGTTTTTTAAACTACTATCTTTACCTACTGATGTTCTTATCTGTGATTTATCTATTTATTTGTTTGTTTGCTTGCTTATTTATTGTAGGTCAAAGGTGCCCCAAATTCATAGTTCTCCTTCTTTTGCCTCTTGAGTGCTAGGATTATACGTGTAAATACCATCAAGCCTGGCCAGAGTAAATCTTTAAACAAACATCACAATTTCTAACAGCTTTCCATGGATAGTCCTAAATAAACTTCCTTTTCAAATTATATATATATATATATATGCAGATATTAATTTCTCAAAATTATTTTCACTCTTTTAATTTCATTTTCTCCTTGTTTCCTGATTGTAGGGAATGCTGACACCTAAAACTAGTTTTTTCTTCTCACCACACTTTCTGTTCAATGAGAACCCATGCCTGACAAAACACTGTCCTCGTTTATACTTTGGCTTGCCATTCGTCTTCCGGTATTATGAGCCCCCAGCTGGTATGGACTGTGGTTTATTCAAACTTTAGAACCATGGAAATTATAATAAAGATATTAATTATTACACTAATTGCATGTTTATCATGTGCCTGGTTCCATTTCAGACACTTTAGATTCATTATATCATTTATTGGTCACCATAATTCCTGGAAAGATAATTGATTTTTCTTTAGCTAAGGAGCATATTACAGAGCCCATAATTCACAATCCAGTAAATGATAGAACAAGTATTCAAAACTGTACACATATTACCAGATAATTTTTAAAACTCTCTGAGTTCGATCTGACTCATTAGGAGCATTTGGTAGAAAGGACACAATCACTGGCCGTCCAAAGCCATGCTGGAAATACCCAAGTTTGCTGTCTAAACATGTCATTGTAACCCTGTCCCAAGAGCTTCCAGGAAGTGTTTGCTATCTCCTTCTGCCCTTTGCCTTCAAACATCAGTCTGAGCTGGCTGCTGCTGTTAAATCAGCAAGAGGAGATCCTATTTGGGGTAGCTTTGAGGTATCCTTCCCAGTATCTCTTTGTGTCTTTAATGCCTGTGTCCCTCACACCTCATCTCCTGATATGTAATTAAATCCTATTTATAACCAGGTCATGTTCTTTGCTGTGAGGAAGTATATGTTTCTCCACCCCTCCCTGACCTTTTATCTTTCTGTACTCTGCTATTATTCATGCAGTTTGTACCTTTCCTCCCCAACAGAAGTGCCTTGCTACATTCTCAATCTAATCTTCAAAGATACTTCAATCAGAAGGGCTTGGTGAAGAAGACAATTCAGATCTTCATGAACTAAGAGGCACTTTACCACTTACTGACTGAGAGATGAGTGAACTCATAAGACATGTGGAAAAGTTGACAAAGGCTTCAGAGATGAAGTCTCTTCCACCTTAGTAAGAGGTGGCTACAAGCTCTGTCAGTTAGGAGGTCAACACTGTAAAGGTGTCACCTGGTCATGTTGTGGAACGTTACTAGGAGTTGCAAACATCAGCTTTTATCATTTAAAAGCAATCATCACAGAGTCCAGTCCATGAGTGAAGCTGGTATTGAGGAATCTGCTTTGCATTTCAGATAATACTTGCACAATCTGGGGACACCTCAGGCCAAGAGTGCATTTAAGGTAACTCTAAAGGAGCAGATGACTTGAACTATCCGTTACACCAGGGCACTAACCCTTCTAGTGCCCTCAGAATTTACTGTGTGCTGACAAATTTACGTATATTATACTGTGTTTATTTTATAACAAAGTATTCTTGAATTTAACCCCCACGAGAGGGGGTACAAGTCCTATCTGTTGTGGGATATTTGATCACACTGTGAAGCATGAGACTGCTTTAATTAGATGAAATAAGCCTTGAGTCAGGAGATGAAGTCAGCAACTAGTTGGCAGGAAGTAGCCATAGAGAGTAAGAAGGAACCAGGATAATGGGTAAAGAGACACAAAGGAAGTAGCGAGGAGGGACCTTAAGTCTGGTGGCATTTGTGGTTTGGGACAGAGGAAGGAATGTTCTCTTTCTATGAAGTCAGCTAAGGAGGAAGGTCAGCTGGTTGTTGCTCGGCCTCGCTGAGCTAACAGGTTGTCACCTCAGCATCTCACTCCTGATGACATTCATTATTGGTAAAAATCATAAGACTGAGATTTAGTTTACAAACAACATTTGGTGCTCCAGCATGTGACATGATCACACATAAAAAGAGGTCATGACAGTTGGTGCCTCCATTTCTGCTGGCACTGCTGCTGGCCTATGATGCCCCTACTGTGCATAAACTGAGAAGTCAGCAGATTTGGAGAGATGCCTGGGAAGTCCTTAAGGAGAGAGTTAAGGAATAATAAAAGGAAAAATATTTCCCATGATAAGGATGGAAAATATCAGAATGCAGGGAGTTAGGACCTTGTATAGTGTGACTTTGCATGGCTTCAAAATGGAAGCTGTAAATGAGGGGATAAATGACTTAGCTGGGGTTGACATAATGCTGACTGTAATTAATAACAGTCTGGTAATTCATATTTTATCCTTTAAAAAGGGGTTTGATCACTGTGCCAAATATGAAAAGTTGACTAATAAGATACAAGCCTTAGAAAAACTTGTTAATGAAAACAAGGAAAATACTTAGACCCAGACAGAGGAATTTAGACAAGTATTTACTGTCAGAGGCTAGAAAGTATATAGCGTATGACAATTATTAATTCGGATGTCAACTCACCAGAGAAGTGACTCTCTGATGGAGGTTAATCCTCTCCAGGAAATCAGCTCTGGAAACTGTTGCTCGCTTTTGCTTTGTGTCTCCTCAATACCCGCATTGTAGGTATATATGTATATGTGTGTGAGTGTAATCTCATGATTAGATTTCAATTTTATGAGCACATATACCTGTGAGTGGTCATGAAGGCGATTTTTCATATAACTAAATAATTTTTGTATATAGAATATTTGCTGAGACATGCTTCATGACTAGATCTGTTTGTCCCACGAAGACTGTACTCTTTGTTCTTTTGCTCAGATTAACTGCACACAATTAGTTCACTATCACCTCAGAGCAAGTTCAAACTAGACTAAAGGTTTTATAAATAGATCATAACATTAAAGCTTTACAGCTCTGCACAAGGCCAGAGTCACAGATGTTCAACCAAGGCTACAACACAAAACACCACAAGAAAAGCATGCCAATTCTTTGCTTGCCAGTCTGCTGACAATAGTCAAAGTTTGTCACTGGGCACTGGGCCATCCTAGTCTGGTCAAGGTCCTACTCCTGTAACCTTGGAAACATGTGTTGCCATGGCAATGGCTCAGTTCCCTATTACCCTAAGAATATGCTTTTGACCAATGAAAGGCAATCCTTGTAATTTTTTTTTTTTTTTTTTTTTTTTTTGTGGCGTCAAGGCTCCTGTGTGAGAGAGAGTTCAGAGAATAGAGGACAAGAAAAAGAGGAGGAGGAGAAGCGAGGAGAAATTAGAAATAGGACAGGAGGATCAGGATGCAAGCAGATGAGTAGGAGACGGATTCAGAAAAGCATTTGTAAGAGAGTTCGTTTGTGCCTTTTTGACTCTTTCCGGGCATTCAAGATGTCGAAGTGAGGACGTAGTGGGTCCTCCGGAGCGAAATTCCGGATATCCCTGGGTCTTCCGGTAGGAGCTGTGATCAACTGTGCTGACAATACAGGAGCCAAAAATTTGTATATCATCTCTGTGAAGGGAATCAAGGGACGACTGAACAGACTTCCTGCTGCTGGTGTGGGCGACATGGTGATGGCCACGGTTAAGAAAGGCAAACCAGAGCCGAGAAAAAAAGGTCCATCCAGCCCTTGTAATTCGACAACGAAAATCATATCGACGAAAAGATGGCTGTTTCTCTATTTTGAAGACAACGCAGGGGTCATAGTAAACAATAAAGGCGAGATGAAAGGTTCTGCTTTCACGTGTCCAGTTGCAAAGGAGTGTGCAGACTTGTGGCCTAGGATTGCATCGAATGCAGGCAGCATTGTGTGACTCTCAGATGCATTTGTAAAATAGATTCATTAGAAGGCTTTCTTGACACCTTCAAAAAAAAAAAAAAAAAAAGAGAGAGTTCGTTTGTTTGCCCTCAGATACCCAAAGAAAAATGACCTTTTTGCTTGCTGTTGCATCCAATCTGAGTCCGGAGAATCTCAGGGCTGTACCCCAAAGGCTCTTGTTAACCTACCATACAACCACATAATGCAACCAAATAGGGGTAACAGAACATTATTAGAAACTCAATCTTCGTTTATTCAGTTTCTATACAAGAATGGCCAGGAGATCATAGGCATCCACAAGGTTATGAAGAAATGAAATGGAACATTAGAGAAATATTAGATTTGAGGAGATTTAAGGAAGTGGTCTTTTCATATGGTCTGTATTTATCTTACTTGAAGCTTATTCATGGGCAACTTGGAACAGAATTATCCCCCCAAATTGGAGAGATTTAGCCACAGCAATAATAGAAGCTTGTCATCAGTTACGTTGGTGTACATTCCTCTTTCCGGAAGCTAGGAGCACAGAACCACTAAATGGGGCTAGAGGTATTACTTCCCAAGATCAGTTTATAAGCGGAGACCAATACAGTGAGTTGCAAAGACAGTTCGAATTTCATGATAACGCCTTGGCCCAGTATTGTTTAGCAGCTTTAAAGGTTTAGAGAAAGGTTGAAGAATCAGGAAACAAGTCTGAGTCATTTACTAAAATGATATAAGTCCCCAAAGAAGCCTTCAGTGATCTTTTACAAAGATTATCTTCAGCTGCAAGTAAAATAGTATCAGATCCAGGAGGCAGACAACTATTAATCAAATCTTTGGCTTCTGAAAATGCTAATTCAGAATGTAAAATGGTGATTAGGCCTTTAAAGGCAAGAACAGCACCAGTAGATGAATGGATTAGAAATACAGCTGATAATGGATATCATGCTTTATTATGCTACTTTGAGAGAAGTAATTTCTAAAAAAAAATTAAGAAAAATCAAAATGTCAGATGTTTTAACTGTGGTTAAGACAGGTCATTTGAAAAGGATTGTTGCCGCATCCCAGTCTGCGCTCTATGCTCTAGAACCTAGTTTGCGAGCTTCGGGCAAGGGGGTGGAGGTTGAGGAAACACACGCAGAGACAGACCAACACACAGACCTTCCAACACTGGTACCAAAAAGCCCCTCTTTAATAGCACCATGGAGGCTTAAATACCCTGCAGTCAATGGCCAACAGGAGAAAATCCCATCCTCTGATCCTCTAGGCAAAGCAAAGCTTTTAGTAACTTCCATTAGAAGGCTCTAGACAGGGAAGAGCAGCTGAAGGCCAGGACTCAATTAGTCCCAACAGATTGTAGGCAAGGTATTCCTAGAAACAGTAATTTTTCTAGAAACAATTTAAACAGCCCTGTGGAGGATGCAGGAAGTGTGCCAAAGGACATCATTGGACCAATAAGTGCCAAACAAGGGACAGGCAAAGTAACCCTTTACCATTAGGCAATGTCTTACGGGGGTCTCTTGCAGGCCCCATACCATATTTGGTTCAATCAGTCCCTTTAAGCTCCTGATAGGATAAACTCATCCACAGCGCAATTAAAAGACTTAATGCCAGTTGTTAAGAACAATAACTCTCATCTCTATTCTGCTTATGAAGAAACTGAAGTGTCCTAACATTAAGTAACATATCCAAGGCCCTAACTGGTAAACGGAACTAAATTGTTTTCTGATGTGAACTCTGTAGGAGAAAGCACCTGGGAAAATGTTTGAAAGATGCTTGATTGAAGAAGTAAAGTGAAGCATTTAATAATCAGGAATTCATTGTGTTGAAGAGATCTTCTTAGGATATGCATTTAAAATTTTAAGTAAAAATGGCAGTAAACATGGTAAAACTTCACGGTTCAGATATGGCTTATCTTCCTAATGAATGATAGCCAATATAGAAATGCCCAGGTCTGAGTTACTCTTGAAGATGGCTTGAGTCATTCTGCTAAATGATGAAGGAAGGAAGGAAGACACTGAGGGAAATGGCACACCTGCAGGCACACATTATTAAATATACTTGAGACATTTTCCCAGAGGACTGTGTTTCATGAAGGGTTCAAAGAACACAGCCTTCAACAAAATTGTCAATAGTAATCTGTTAAGTTATAGCATCACTAGAACGTTAGGTAAAGTTCTAATCTTCAGGCTAGAAATGATGGTAGAAATACATATATTTCTATATATTATGTCTATATGAATATACTGCTCACTGTGATAAGCCCCTTAAATAAAAGAGGCCGGGAAGTGAGACTTAAATGCCAGATAGTCAAATTTATTGCTCACGAGGTTGAAGGGCATCCAAGGACTCTTTATGTTCTACATTGTTGTGTATAAGGTTAATGACACAGATGTCCCTGGATAAAAATACAATATGTCTTATTTCTACAATAGAAATGTGGTAATATTCTGAGAGCTACATAGCCATATAATAAAATAAAATTTAGGAATTGAGAAAGACGGCTGATATCTGTGACTCCAAGGAAAAGTTGCAGGTTCTTGCCTATAACCTAAACCTAAGTCTCTCTTCTCTTAGTGAACCCATTGACAAAACAGGTTATTGATTTCCTACGATGAATCATAATGATGAATGAATTGTCCAAGAACCTGTAGCTATTCATTTCAGTGCATCTGCTCAGGGGACAAAAGACAACTTAGATATCCCAAGGCATGTTGGTCACAGTGTCTGAGCCGACACGGACACATAAACGACAACGAAATTGCCATGATTATTGTGTGGAAGTATGGCTTTAAGAGAACTAGCTAAGGAAATGACTTCTGCCTAAATAAAACCCGTCTTGCAAGAGCCTTATTCGGTTTGCAGACCCACCTAGCGCTCATTTCCCTGATTAAGTGTAAATAATAGAAACGAATGTGTTTGGCAGCTAGAGTGACTCATGTAAGGACCATAGATTCAGAGAGTAGATCTATCATGTTTGGGAAGCGGAAGACTCTGAGATTCCTCTGTAGCTATGAAAATAAAGTGGGAAAAGAACACATTAAAATAACATAATAAAGCTTAGGATGTCCGGTAAAGACAAAAGATACAACAGTAGTAAGGGTTACCAATATCGGTTTTGCTTGCTTGCCTGACACTGTACAGCACAGAAGAGTCCACAAGAATGTGGACAAGAATGTGAAGGATGTCACAGGAGCAATTTAATAGACTCTCTAGGATCGTAGATGCTGTGGGATAAACATGGCAATAATGTTTACACATACAGATTCTGAGAAACAATTACTGTGTATCAACAGGCTTCGAAATCGGTGAGCCAAGACCTGATCGGGCATCACACAATTGAGTCTTGAGAATCAGTCACTAAGTTGGGGAATTTACAGCTTTCCACCATCAAAATAACCTAAATTTTAACTCCAATTAGCAGAGAAAAAGAGGAAAAACCCATTTGAAAGGGGTATGTAAGCTACACATACAATCATCTCAAATTTCTGAGATATAATAGGTTGAGTTGCATCCCTTCAAATGTTCTGATGCCGAGGTCAAAATCCTCAGTACTTCAGAATGTGACCTTACTTGTGAATAAATTTTGGTAGACATATTTAATTAAGAAAAACCTATTAGG